ACACACACACACACACACAGACAGACACTTTATTAATCCTGAGGGATGTTAGAGGTCTAAACTGAGACAAAGAGATCGTCTTCACTTCTTTGTCACAAACTGCACGAGTCCTGGAGACACTGTGCTCCTCCTCCTCTTCCTCCTTACCCTCCTCTTCTTGTCACCTATTGCACGACAGCTCTGCTTCACCTCTTATATCACATCCCATAATGACAATAATCATTAAACCCTTCTTCTTCTGTGGTGTCCAGGCAGGGAAGCTACCTGGGCATGGCACCGATGGGAGGGATGGGCTCTGGAGGCCCTGGAGGCCCTGGAGGCCCTGGAGGTCCTGGAGGTCCCTACAGCCAGCAGGCAGGCAGCAACTCTGGTAGGATGACGCCGCAGGGACCGCCCTACAGCGCCCCGCCCTCAGGTACGACCACAGAGCCACAGAGCGCCGTCACAAATCAGTCTGACGGAGGTTTGTCAGTGACCTCATGCTTCGTCCCCCAGGGCCCATGATGATGCCAGCAGACGGGATGGGAGCTCATCCAGACGCCAAGCAGCGGCTAGAGCTCAGCAAAGAGGGCGTCTGTCCCGCCACCGCCGAACCCCCGAAACCCAAGGTACGTCGTGTGGACCAATCACAGCTCGTTCTGTCAGTCAGCTCTAACAGACGCATGTCATGCAGACTAACGTCACCGCTGAACAGAAGCTTCAGAGTTTGACATCACGTACAAAGATGGAGAACAGAGAGTTGAAACCCTCCGAGACATTTTAGGTCCTTAAAAATCTTCAGTTAAGGAGCGGCTGATTGATGAGGTGTGGGTGAGGAGTGATCTCCAGCACACCTCGCTCACCTTCAGGACATTAAACCTGAATAAGTTGGCAGCTGGCCAGAGGGAGATCGACAGAACGTTATCAGTCAGAGCTGCAACGATCGGACAAAGTTGCATGGTCGTGCAGCATTTCCAAGGATTGGTTAAATTCAGGATAAATGTTGCAACGTTGACATCGAGAGATCAAAATATCTCACAACTGTTGAAGCTGAGTGATCGTTGTTGTTGACGGCGGCTTGGAGCAGGTCGTGGGCGCTGTGTTTGCTTCGGTGTCACTCGTTTAGTTACTGGTGTTGTTCTGCTCAAACTACGAGCCTGTCGTCCTCTGTGTCTGCTCCTGCAACCTGATTGGCTGTTCATCCTCCTCTCCTGTTAAGAGGCAGGTGGTAACATGTGTTTAAGGTGCATCAGCGCCCCTCCCCCGCCACGTGTGGTTTAACATTTGTGGAACGTTTGTTTTATTCTATAGAGGAAAATGATATGAAGATTACTATGTTTAATCGCCCAGCGCTGCTCCTCCGACTGTTTCCTCCAGCAGACAGGAAGTCGTCTCAGACGTCAGGAAACAGCATCTGTCGCACTGTGAGGCAGAAACTGTAACTCTGATTGACGTCAGCCTTTCGGGTGCAGTGTGTTTGTTCCAGCCGGGAGGTGTTTGACAGTATTGATGAGTTAGTCTTCAGCAGCTCGCCGTCGTTATCTCGTCTGGCTGGTTTGGAAAGTGTTACAGAAAACCCCAAAATAACCCGCTCCTGCCAACAGAGCCTCTTTAGACTCCTCTTCTTCTCTTGCTTGTTTAATGTTGTTTTGTGTGAGTTCAACTCGGCAGCTGGAGAGGTTTGAACGCTCCGACTTCTCCTTCCTCACCGCTCCTCGTTATCGTATAGTGAGGAGTCGGCCTTGATCTGAGATCTGTGTCGGGGTTACTGGAGACGATTCGTCTTTGCCTTTGACTGGAGTTCTCTGGCTGCTTTGTGTCTGCAGTTTGTCGAGGAGTTTCTCCTCACTGCGTCGCTGCTAATTTTTCCTCCTCCGTGTTTTGTGCTGCAGCAGTTTGCTCTCAGTTTGACGCTCTGAAGCTTTGGTGTGTTTTTGTGTTATTTCATGTCAGCTGTCAGAGAGACATCGGAGCAGATGTGAGACAACAGCAAGGAAACTTTAAAGTCAGTTGGTTGTTAAAATTCTTCCAGATTACTGGATTGTTTTTGGAGAATAACTCAGAGGAACCTGGCAGGCAGAGAAATCTGACTTGTGTCCCTGATATTTGGTTGGATTTGGTTTTATTCAGGTTTCTCCTCTCCTCCCTGTCAGAGAGTTTCTCCTGATCAGAGTGGGAGCTCAGAGGACAGACCCAGTTGTACAGACTCCTGTGAGCTGTGACTCTGAGCTGATGGAGAACATGAGATTTGGTTTAAAGCAGCTTGACGTGAAATGATTTTGTCCCACATGCTGATCCTCTTGTTTCCTCGTTATAGAAAGACTTTAATGAGCTTTAAGGAGAATCTGCACCTGTTTTATTGGAGCATGAATCGTTCCTGGAAATCAAACTGTAACCTGTTAATAAATGTTCAGTCTGAAGATGTTATGAATCAGATATTTAGAACTGGACTTGAGCAGAAAAGACAGCTGATGACTTGTTATCGTTACAGAGGTGTCTGATCGCTGCTGGACAAAATAATAATCCAGAAACAATGGTGATAAACTGTATTATTTTCATTTTGAGACCATGTCACGTCACTAAAAAGCGTAATGATGTGAGTACACCCTTAAAGAGCGATGAACTATTAATTCATACGAAAATTCAGGCATTGAAATCTAAAAAAATCAAGATAATCTAAATGAATAACACATAAACAACCAAACTGTGTCTTAGTGTTGGTTTCTCTCTGTTGATGCAGCTCAGGCGCCTGAATCTGACAGTGTTCAGGAAAACGCTGCCGTTTGATCTGATGTCATGTTAGCTAAAATATTAGTGACATAAAGGCAATGGACAACAGAGAGCTGCAGGGATGATGTTAATTTGTAGTCTGACCCTGATGTTAGCGTTGCCCTGGTTCCCTCATCAAAAAGCCAGCGAAATTTTTGACGATTTAAGATGTTTAAAACTTGTTAAAAACACTTTGACTTTGAGACGAGGGAACATTAAGTGCTAACATGCTAACTGATTTACAGGTTTTAGGACTCATTCCTGGAGCGCTCCATATCGTACGACATATGGAAGTGACCTTGATAATATTTGCTGGCCTCATTAAGTCATGAATGTACTTATTATTATTAATGTAATTATTGTGACAGGTCCAGCTCGTGGTTACTTCCTGTCTGTATTAACCCGACTGTCCATCAGCTGCTAAATGCTAACGCTAACATCTGTGCATGAAAACAAAGCTTTAGAAGAAGAAAGATTTTTCTCTCTGTTATGTATTTATTTTAAAGAGTTGTGCTTCCTGACGTCCCCTCACCACATGGCTGTGTGTGTGTGTGTGTGTGTGTGTGTGTGTTTTGTGTCTCAGTGTGTGTCCCAGCCCCCCACCCCGTCCCCCATGTCCCCCAGCTCAGCTAGTCTGTCCTCCTGTCACGGGGAGGACAGTGATAGCATTAGCAGCCCCGCCTGGTCCAAGACATCAACCAGCCCCGTAAGTGTCGCAGACTTCTCTGTGTTTTTATTTCTGAGGGCTCTACGGCGAGAAACCGTCAAGTCATTTTGACTTCCTCCCCCGTAGAGCCCCACTTCCTGCTGCTGATGAACCTCGTATCTCCAGATTCTGTCACAGAATCGTTTTTTATTTTCGTCTCCTGAATCCACTGTTATAAATAAAACCAAGGAGTTAATGTTGAAATCAACACGTTAAAGTGTGACTTTTTGGAGATACGAGGTTTTCATTGGACAGAGCAGAGTTGTGTTTTCATCTGATGGTCAAAAGCTGCTTTTCTTATTGTGACTGTTTTTACATGGTGATGTGATTTTCTACATGTTTACTGAAACTTTCTCATTAAAAACACCAAAAACTCTTAAATTTAAAAACCTCTCAGATAAAAAGCGTCGCCAACGTTTAGATCAGAGTCATCAGCGTTGTGAAAGGTTATCAGAACTCTGTCATAAAAGACTTTAATATTCTGCTTTCAGTAACATCTTAAAGTGAAGTCTTCAGCAAATTTAACTTACTGTAATAACCAAATCCACAATCTGACACCGTCAGTGTGTCTCAGATCTCAGACTCCTGAACTTAACACTTCATATTCGGCATGCTCTAAGTGTGTTCACACTGCATAGTACGGGAAAACGCAGTGTACCACTGGTGCACTCAAAACAGTCCAAATGTTGAGTGTGGAATGACGGACACTTCTCGCCCTCAAGGGTCACCATCTTTGTCACATAGCTGAAACTACGTGACAAAATTCTCAATTTCTGACATGGCGGCTGGAGTCAACATAGTTCCACATGTTTCAGCATTAAGGGCCCGTCCCAATTACCCCCCTTAGCCCTACCCCTACATTTGCGCGTTCCCATGAAGGGTAGTGGTGTCCCAATTCCTTTTTGCATGTAGGGGTAGGGGGCATAACGAGGGGTAGTGGGTATGAAACTAGCCCTTCGGAGCGAGGGATTTCAGATGCTGACTTGCCAGCGAGGGGAAGACGTCGCCATGGCTACCACCGAGCAAGAGACGGGGAAAAAGTTCATACATAGCTAACGTTACCGTTGTCAGGTTGCTTGTTAGCTAGCTAGCTAGCTCGCACTATCTGGCATCTGTCATCTGTCCTGTTCTGCAAATTTCTCGGACTTTTCACATTATGATAACACGCCAGCTAGTATAACTATGCTGCCTCGTAATGTTAGCTGGTTAGCTAGCTAGCAGAAGTCCCCTGTCGTCTGTCGTTCATCAAACGAAGCATGATGAATGCAGCAAATGCGATCGGTAGGATGATTTGGTACCACCAACAGTAATATGAGTGCTAACATTAGCACTCACTAGTTAGCAAACTTGCTCCTAGATACGGTGGCACATTTTAATCAGCACTGACGTGGCATAAGTTTGGTTCATGTGTGGGCGGTCAAATGTTGGTGATAATGTTCCACCGTCTGTTGGCAATTTGCCGTTTGAAAAGACGAAAAGGAAGAGGCGGTTTTAAAAAAAAAAGCTGTCATCACGTCCAGTTACTGCAAAACGAGAGTGTGTGATTTGAGACACTGCCCTGTGGAAATGAGTGCACCACACAGGAAGTACGTAGTGAACTAACAGAAGGATGAGATTTGAGACTCATATCAGGTCTGATATCACGATGTCGATATGTGTTAACATGTTGCCCAGCCCTGGTGTTGGCCATGTGTCATGCTCTCTAGAGTCAAAGACAAAATGCATGGTCATGGGAACATCCAGGAAGACGCTGACAGCTGAAACAGCTGATCAGTTGGGAGTTAAATCTTTGCTACATCAGAACTTATAAGACAAAGGATGTTTCCACATCTCATTTATCGCATCTTTTTTATTAAACAAACTTATAACCTGAAAATAAAAACTTGAGTCACGGTTTAAATCAGATTCTGATGTGTATCTGCTGGTTTGGTCCGTGTTGGCTGATCCGTGGTCATATTGTGTGGTCTGTCTCTGCTCTGATCTGTAACCTGGGAGCTGACGATGGTCTCTGTGTCTCGGTCTCTGCAGAAGCCCAGCGTGGCCACCATGACCAACGAGAAGATCACCCGGCTGTACGAGATGGGCTCTGAGCCGGAGAGGAGGCTGTGGGTGGACCGCTACCTGACCTTCATGGACGAGAGGGGGACGCCCGTCCCAAACCTGCCCGCCGTCGGGAAGAAACCTCTGGACCTCTGCAGACTGTACATGGCGGTCAGAGAGATCGGAGGACTGGCCATGGTGAGACAACAACTCCTCTGGCTTTAACTCCTCACCTGCTCCAGTGTTTGTCTGAGAAACGCGTTTACTCTCCTCCTCCTCTTCCTCCGCCTCCTCCTCCTCCTCCTCCTCCACAGGTGAACAAGAACAAGAAGTGGAGGGAGTTGTCGTCCCTGTTGAACGTGGGGACGTCCAGCAGCTCGGCCAGCTCTCTGAAGAAGCAGTACATCCAGTACCTGTTTGCCTACGAGTGTAAGGTGGAGCGTGGGGAGGAGCCTCCACCTGAGGCCCTGGGCCCCACTGGAGACACCAAGAAACCTCTGTCCCTCCAGGCCAAGATCCAGCCCCCGTCCCCAGGTGAGCACTCACCTGTTCTCCTCCACACGTTCACCACCAGTGATGAACAACCCCGTCACCTGTGAGGTTTGAATCAGAGTTCTTCCTCGTGTGTACAGGTAGAAACATCAAGACAGGTGTCAGTGCTGTCCCCACAGGTACAGTGACAAGTGTCTGACAGTGCTGTCCCCATAGGTACAGTGACAGGTGTCTGACAGTGCTGTCCCCATAGGTACAGTGACAGGTGTCTGACAGTGCTGTCCCCATAGGTACAGTGACAGGTGTCTGACAGTGCTGTCCCCACAGGTACTAAAAACGGGAAGTGTGTAAAGATGGACCCATAACTACTAAAAATTGAAATGTGTGAGTGGGGACCCCAGAAGGGATTAAAACAATCATCTGGTGTCATTTTTTAAAAATAATTTAAGTTATTGATTTAAACTTTGTCGTAAATGCGTTTTGTTCCACCGAAGTGACTTTGTCTAAACGTTGGCTCTCACATGTCACCAGAACATAAGTGGTCCCCACAGGTGACGAGTGTGTCTGACTGAATGTGACTGAAGATTAACATGAACCTTGTTACACAGTTCTGGTAATTTAACGAGTCGTCTGAATGAACACTTGAGTCATGTGACTTGGGTAATTTACATAAAAGTCACAGCGGCAGTTTGAGCAGGTCGGACCTGGAGCGTCTCTGTAACATTACTGAGACGTCTTTGTAATGTTTCTGTAACATTATGGCGACTCGAGTCTGAACCGAGTGACTTCACATTAACATATGAACAAGTATTAACGAGGAGGAGAAGGACGGTCATTCGTCTTTAAGTCTGCAACTGAAATTAAGTTTTAAAATCCAGCAGTGATGCAGCCTGTGAGAAAACTCGGTATCATTACGCTCAAACTCCATGCTGTTTTCTGGCAGTGACATCACTTCCTGTGACAAACCTCGTTCAGTGTTGTGACTCTGTCACAACACTGAACAACGGAGCCACGAATGTTCCAGATTCACACACACACACACACACACACACACAGATTATTTAACAGAGGAGCAGAGTGAGTCGTCAGGCGGAGGAGGAGAGTGTGACTGTAAACACCAGTGACCTCAATCTGACCTAGTTTCCCACGATGCCTCTGTTTCTCCTCAGAGCTGATTAAACCTGTGTGAAATAAGTTCATGAAATTTAACCCTGTAAAGTCACAGTGACGACGTATTTGGTCAAAACTGAGTTCAGAACAGAATTTTAATTTTGACACCTTCACGTATAAAAATAATTATACCATAGAAAAGATAAAATGAATGATCTGGAAAATTCAGTTGTTGCAGCACAAAGGCAGAAATAAAAACAGATGAACATAGAGTTAAAGAAATAAGTCAGAGGTATCCACAGCTAAAAGACGAGTAGAATAAGGAACTGTAGCGGAGCATGTGGAGACTAAAGCTAATAATCTGATTTAAATCACATTTGTTAGGTATGCGTGTGATTCAACATTAATCAGTCGAAAAGAAGAAAGAAAAAAAGAAAAATGAAAAAGGAACATTTTTTGTGGATGCATAAAAAAAAAGATTAAGATTGTAAAACGTTCGTTTCAGTTTTGTTTTTTTTTCCTCAGCTTTCGTCTCTACTTTAATAACCCGACAGTCATGATCTCTGCGGGTCGCTAAGAAGCTGTTAGTCCCACAAAAATGGGCCCCACAAGTACTGACAAACACAGTCTGGTTTCTCCTGTTTGTTCAGGCCCGTCTGAATAACTGCACCGTGACGTCACATGATGACACGTAACCATCGATCTCAGCAGGTTTTCTGTTTGCTCTGTATCTCTGCAGCGAACTCGGGCTCCCTGCAGGGCCCCAACACCCCTCAGTCCAGCAGCAGCTCCCTGACCGAGGCCCCTGGAGACCTGAAGCCCCCGACCCCAGCCTCCACCCCGCACAGCCAGATGGGCCCCCACCCTGGAAACAGGTAGGGGCGGGGCTTAAAGCCTGAATTCAGTCAGGAGGTACTCACCAGCTCAGCAGCACAGATCACAAACTATTCAAATGTTCTATCAGCTTCTGTTGTCATTAAAATGCAGCTCAGAGTTTACCATTTGATGTTTGTTGGTTAAAACAGAATCTACAGGTTAATGTCAGATATGTCTTTTGTAAGAAAGTCACACGGACGCAGCCTTAATCTGGTGTGACAGAGAGCTGATGTCATCAACATAACATGTCACACTTGTGGGTAACTGCCGCTAACAGAGCAGGTATAGAGTCAACAGCAGAGGACCCATGATCGAACCCTGTGGTACACCTCACCTAAAAGTAATACATGAGACACAACACCTGCAGGGACAAAACAAGCATCATTTTTAAGGTAACAATATTTTGGACTAGAGATGTCCGTCAATATGTTGAGGGAATTTCTTATAATTTGTCAAGAACCCTCTTTCACATTGCCTCTTTATGGCGGGAATTTCATGCCGTCATGCCACCTTGACGTTTTTTATAAAAGGTTTGATCACAGATTGGGGGGACAAAGTTGTCTTGTGCTTAAGGCAACATCAGAGGAAGTAACAGCGCTGAAACGAGGGACAGCCAGCAGGATGAGACCATGGATGGGACAGGTGTGACATTTTCATGTATTATGTGTGCGACCCACCGTGGGAGATATTTTTTATATCTCCAGCTGTTAGCAGTTAGTGGCTAACTCAAAGAAGAAGAACAGCAGCTGTTAGCAGTTAGCAGCTAACTCAGACAGTGAGGTCCAGGAGCTTCTTACCCTCCAAGCAGAGGACGAGATCAGCCGCCATATAACAGGGACACTAAATGATTGCTATTGACATGTGATGTCATTGTTATTGTTTATAAAGAGCTGCTGACATTTATGTTATATGTCACACTAGAGGCCAACGCTGTTGCGTTACATGTCACGCCTCTTTTGATTCTGTGATGTCATCATGCTGTCTGACATCACACACTGGAGCCACATGATGATGCTGTTGTTTGGTTCTGTGTAAACATGTAAAGGAGGTGCAAAGACAGGACGTCGTGGTGGCTCTGCGGCGCCATCTGTGTGTAAAAAGCACAAGGTGTTAACTCATGTTTCTGTGATGTCAGTTTTAGTTTCAGACTCCAGAGAGAGAGAAACTTTTACTTAAAAAGGCCGTTAATATTCTGCTGTGGTTTCTGTCTCAGGAACATGGTCGGGGTGAGCGTCCAGGACCCGTTCTCTGAAGGCAGCGATCCAGCCTTCCACAGCAAGCGAGGCCCCGGCCCCGGCGGCGCCCCCTACCAGCAGGGCGTAGGTCCTACAGACCCCTCGATGAGGATGCAGTACGATGCCAAAAAAGACCCGTACGGAGGACCGAGGAAAGGTGAGGAGCAGAGAGACACTGTAGAGAACTGCAGAACGTGACATCTGTGAGTCAGTACAATTATCTTATAGAAAACAAACCTTAGATTAATTAAAACACATGAAGCGTTCCACAGTGTTCATGTTAGATAGTTATTATCATCAGGTGCTGCTGCAGCGTTCTGGTCCTGACCAGTTCAAAGTGTGTGTGCTGTATTCAGACGCAGTCACTGTGCTCTGCTGCCCCCTGCTGGACAAACCCTCAGCTGAGTCTTAACACGGGGCTGCTAATAGCTCATGTTGCACACACGTTACATCACCACTGAGCAGTTTATAAAACCTCACTCAGTTTTTACATTTTCCTCCTCACAGACCATCAAAATAATTTACTTAAATAACACAGTGATAAAATAAATAACAAAAATAAATATTTATTGATGATTCAGTTTCCTTTTTTATTTTTCCTAAATGACGTGATGTGTCTTCACCTGTTCCTCTGCAGGTCCGGGGCCCGGCGAGGCCTTTGGTCCCGGTCAGATGCCCAGCGGTGCCATGCAGGACATGTACCCCCGTGGGCCGCCCTCTGGGCCCCTGACAGGGATGGGCCCCAGGCCCCAGTACCCCTACGGCCCTGGCTACGAGCGGAGGTAAGATCCTGGTTAGAGTGTCCGAGGGCTTGCTGTGTTTGATCAGTTCTGTCGGTGTCTAAACATCATTCCTACGTCTGCGTGCTTCTGTAAATCATCGTAACATTTCTATTGATGTGTTCCTGGAACTCTGGTTCAGGTTTAGTTACTGAACAGAAACCGATGGAACATGCGATCCAGCTGTTTAAGGTGACGCGTACAGCACCATGTGTCTGCACAGTTCCTCCAGAATGAGTCCAGACGCCAACACACAGTTTAAACATGATATTTTATCAGTTGAGGGATTTTTGAGCTGCAATTGTGAAAAAAACAGAAAACTTTCAAATATTTTTTGTGCTAAAAATAAACATCTATAAAAAATGTAAAAAGTGTTTTCCTGTTCGTTGCCATAACGATCAATAATTCACGTTCATGCTGATGAATTGTAAAAACAGCTTCTTTGTGTCTGAATTGAAACAAATATTTGCAACTGATTCAAAGACTCAACTTCCTGTCGTCTCTTCTGTCTCGCAGGCCGGATCACGTGATGGGACCAGATGCAGCCATGGCGCCACCTGGAGGTCAGAACAGCATGGGTCCATCTGGAAACGAGTCGAGCATGTACCCCGCCAACAGATACCCCCACCAGAGGTGAGAGGACACCTCGTCTTTTATCAGAGTGTATTTTACGTTTTGTCTTGACGCTGTGTGTCAATGATTTGTCCTCGCTGTCTTCAGACACGGACACGACGGTTACGGGCAGCAGTATCCTCACGGCATGGCCTACACTTCCCATCAGCCCCTGTACCCTCAGCAGCAGGTGAGCTCTCTGATACAGAATAAACTTCACAGGGTTTCTCACACATTCTTTTATTTGTGGCACCCACCACGACAACAGCGTCCTCCGCTATTGTTGGAGCTGAGCAGTGACGTCATGAAGGAACCTGATGAACCTGTGTGAGCTCGTCTTTTCCCTCCGCTCTGTCTTGCAGGGTTACAAGCGTGCGATGGAGGGGATTTACCCCCCGGCGAAGCGTCATGAAGGCGAGGCGTTCACGGTGCAGCAGTTTGGCTCCCAGCAGCCCGACATGTTCGGCCCCTACAGTGGAGGAGGCGGTGGGAGCTACATGGGCGCCGAGCGGCGGCCAGTGCAGGGCCAGTACCCGTACCCGTACGCCCGGGACCGGCAGGGCCCCCCACAGCACGGCATGATGGGCTCAGGACCACCAGCGGTGTCCGGGGGCCCCGGGGAGGGGCCGCAGCCCAACATGTGGCACCCCAGGACAGACATGGGCTACACGTACAGCCGGCAGGGCCAGGGGCCCCCCTACCCCGGCATGGGCCGAGGAGACGACCAGGAGGGCCGGGCCCCCCAGGACAGCCAGTGGCCCCCCAGTCATCCAGGACAACGCCAGCCCCCATTCCCCCCACTCTCCTCCTCCTCCCCCTCCATGCCCCCCCTGCCCTCCAGACAGCCCCCCTCTTCCTTCCAGGCCACGCCCACCGTCCCTAACCACGTGACCCGCTCTCACAGCCCCTCCTCCTTCCCCCGGCCCCTGGGGGGCTCCCTGTCCCCCAACAGCGCTCCCTACCTGCCCTCCATGAAGAAGCCGGGGCCCCCACCCACACAGGGCCTCCCCATCATCCACAGAGAGGTCAGCTTCCCCCCCAGCTCTGTGGAGGCCACACCCCCTAAACTGAAGCCACGACGCCGGCTCACCTCCAAGGACACAGGTGAGACAACACACACACACACACACACACACACACACACACACTGAGACTCCATCCACACACACAAGTGTCATCTCGTCCACACTTAAATGACTGAAAACACACATCACATGACCGTTCGCACTCGCAGGGCATCGCAGTAAACAGGAAGTAGATTGTTGACTCTACAGTTTGTTGTTCAGTCGCAGGAAACACTGAGAGAAGTCAGACCAGAGATTTCTCTGCTCGGACAGACGAGGAGGTGAAACTGTTCATGAAAGGAGGCACCAGTTCTTCCATTATCACCCAGAACTATCGCTCCACGTTGTGCTGATGGCGTCGCTCGACACAGAAGTAGTGCGTGTAGCATGGCGGCAGTAGAAACATTTTAAAATGCAGAATTTAACCACACAGCAGCTGCCAGGTCAGCATCGCCTGGAACTTGTCCTCCATGTTGAATTAACCGTCAGTCATCACAGCTGTTTGTTTCCTTCTGGGAAAGGGTCACATGATCGGGCCTGACCAATCAGGGAAGGACACATGTTGGTCGATGAGACCTCATCAGGAAGTGAACGTGCGTGCATCATCGTTTTCAAAGTCCGTTTCCTCCCGTTCAGACTAAAGAGCAGCCGTAACACAGGGTCAGCAGCGTTTAAAGGTCTCAGTGTCAGAGGTTCCAAAATGTTCGAGGGCGTGGACGTCAGGCGTGGATGATGCAGCCAAGACAAATTCCACACCTCTGACATCACACTGACATCAACACTTCCTGCGGTCACATAACAAACCAACATCACGTCTCTTTGTGACTCGGACATTTTCTGATCGATTTTGTCCAATCAGGAACCCCAGAGGCGTGGCGGGTGATGATGTCACTGAAGTCGGGCCTGTTGGCAGAGAGCACCTGGGCTCTGGACACCATCAATATCCTGCTGTATGACGACAGCACGGTGGGCTCCTTCAGCCTCACACAGGTCAGACACACACACACACACACACACACACACACACACGTTGATGTTTATTATTTATTTACGTGTAACATTTTAATAAAGTGTAGAAGAAGAATGATCACCTCACAGTTTAATGCAAATGTAAAGCTGCAGTTAATACATTATAATGACTCAGCTGTCCTCCTCCTGTCCTCCACCTGTCTCCTGTTCTCCTCCTCCTCTCCTCCTCCTCCTGTCCCTCTCCTGTCCTCCTGTCCTCCACCTGTCTCCTGTTCTCCTCCTCTCCTCCTCCCCCTCCTGTCCCCCTCCTGTCCTTCTGTCCTCCACCTGTCTCCTGTCCTCCTCCTCCTCTCTCTCTCCTGTCCTCCTGCAGCTGCCTGGTTTCCTGGAGCTCATCGTGGAGTTTTACCGCCGCTGCCTCATCCAGATCTTCGGGATCCTGGAGGAGTACGAGGTGGGAACTGAGGGCCAGAGGACCCTGCTGGGACCCCTGCCCGACACCCCTGAGGAGCAGCAGGAGGTGCTGAAGGAGCCAGCAGCTGACGGCCCGTCAGCCGAGGAGCCGAGGACACCGAGGAGGCTGATCGAGGAGATGGAGGAGAGGATGGAGGTGCTGCTCACAGCTGCTCCTGACACAGAGGAGGAGGTGAAAGACAGCGAACCTGTCGTCAAAGAGGAGGCGGAGGTGGTGAAGGAGGAGCACCAGGAGCAGGCAGAGCCCCGCCCCCTGCAGGCCAGCAAGTACGACAAGCTGCCAATCAAGGTGGAGGAGGAGGGCAAGGAGTGGGAGGAGGTGGAGGAGCGCTGGGCCGAGCTCCGCCGACCCAACGGCTTCATCAGCGGCCTTCTGCACTGGAAGGCCGGAGGAGGAGACTCCACCGCTCACATTCAGACAGGAGAGAGGGACGGGAGGAGGGGAGGAGACGAGGGGAGGAGACAGGAGACAGGGGGAGGAGGTGACAGGCAGGAGGAGGTGGAGGAGAGGAGCCCACCAGCCGGTGAGGAGACGCCACCTGAAAGCCAAGAAGGTAAAGACTTCGAGGAGGAGGAGGAGGAGGAGGAGAACTCTGTGACACATGATTTATTTTTATTGATTACTGATTTGATCAGCCTCCATTTTGTTTCTAATCATCTGCTGATCAGTAGAAACTGTGTTGTAGTTCAGGTGTTTGACCAGCAGGGGACTCTGTCTCTGCTCCACTCTTCATTTAAACTCACCTTCAGCTCTTCTTCTTCTGTCTGTGACGTCTCTGTGTCTCCTCTCCAGGCGTCCTGTCGGAGGTCAGAGGTCAGAGGTCGCCGGCGGCCCATAGTCCCCTCAGTCAGCTGGAGGACGAGCCTCGCTGCTGGGACGAGGCTCCTCTGTCCACCGCCGAGTCGTGGCAGGACTCTTTGGCTAAACGCTGTGTCTGCATCTCCAACATCGTGCGCGGCCTCTCCTTCGTCCCCGGCAACGACGCCGACATGTCGCGGCACCCGGGCCTGTTGCTGATCCTGGGCCGGCTGGTGCTGCTGCACCACCACCACCCTCGCAGGAAACGGACGCCGCCCAGCTACCAGCGGGAGGAGGAGCAAGGGCTGGCCTGCAGCCGGGACGAGTGGTGGTGGGACTGCCTGGCGGCACTCAGGGAGAACACGCTGGTGACGCTGGCCAACATGTCGGGCCAGCTGGACCTGTCGCAGTACCCCGAGAGCATCTGCCTGCCCATCCTGGATGGGCTGCTGCACTGGATGGTGTGCCCGTCCGCCGAGGCCCAGGACCCGTTCTCCGCAGCGGGCGGCGGCTCCTCGCTCACGCCTCAGAGACTGGTGCTGGAGTGTCTGTGCAAGCTGAGCATCCAGGACTGCAACGTGGACCTGCTGCTCGCCACGCCGCCCTTCAGCCGCCAGCAGAAGCTCTACGCCACGCTGATGCGCCTGGTGGGCGAGAGGAAGAGCCAGGTGTGTCGGGAGATGGCGGTGGCCGTGCTGTCCCACCTGGCGCAGGGCGACCCGACGGCGGCGCGCTCCATCGCCCTGCAGAAGGGCAGCGTGGGAACTCTTATCGGCTTCCTGGAGGACAGTGTGGCGGTGGCTCAGTACCAGCAGAGCTCGCACAGCATGCTGCACGCCGCCTCGCCGCCGGAGCCGCCCAGCGTCAATATGATGTGCCGTGCCGCCAAAGCACTGCTGGCCATGGCGAAGGTGGAGGAGAACCGGTCGGAGTTTGTTCTGTACGAGAGCCGGCTGCTGGACATCTCGCTGTCGGCCGCCCTCAACACCTCGGTGGCGGCCATCATGTGTGAAGTACTGTTTAAAATCGGCCGCTCGTGACACGAACACCGGCACGGAGCGCGCTCAGTGTGACGGACTGGCTCCTATTATATTTTTATTTAAAGAACAGAACAGAAATGTTTTTACATACAAATGAATATATATAGAATATTTACGGCTCCTCGCTCCATCTGCAAAATGTTTATTTGGGATTTTTAAGTAATTTTAATACAAAAATATTTAATACTTGTATTTTTAATTTTTTATTCTTTTGTCAGTTTGTTGTTTTGTTTTAACCAAAGTGTGGCGGCGGACAACGCTCGGGTTCTGTGGACGTTTGTTTCTGTTTCCTGGGGACGGGGCTAGTTAGATGTTTGGGGGCGGGGTCAGATTTATTTAAATAGTGACACATGTTGTAGATAAGCGTCTGTCGTCATGACGCAGGAAACAATGATGTTCAGTCGCGTCTTTGTTTTGGTGCAATAGGTTTGTTTTTGGGCGTTTCTTACTTTAATGTGAATTATTTGACCATCTGCAGTTCGACCATCAGTATTTTGCCGACAACAGTATCAAACGTCACTTTCTGTTTTATAAGAACTTTTAATGTCCTCCAACAAATCTCCCATCATCCCTCTGTAAATAGACGATGTACATTTGAGCTCCAGCAGGTGGCGCCATCATTTATAATCAGCTGAAGGTTCAGTTCGTCCCAGCAGGCCAAGACTTCTCTCAGTCCAGGACGTGTTTGGGGGGGGGGGGGGGGGGGGGGGGGGGGGGGGGGGGGGGGAAGCGGGGGGGGGGGTGGGGGGGGGGGGGGGGGGGGGGGGGGGGTCTGATCTGGGAGGGTGTGTTTGATTTGAGAGACTGTATGTACAGGAGGTGGAGGGGCGGGCGGGACTGTACTCATCATGTTGCTAACTGACACAGAAACCGTTATAACAAATGTAAAGAGATAAAAAAAAAGAGAGCAGAGCGTCTCCTGTTTGACAGACGTTGTTTCTTCAGATCTTTATATGTTCCACAACCACAATAAACGTACATGAACTCTGGTTGAGCACTGAACGCAGCTCTGGGCTGGTTTTGTGAACAGGTCTGCCAACGTGCAGCCTGTGAGGCGTTCAGGGTCTCAATGTTTAATGTGTGTTTGTGTTCTGTCCCTCAGCTGCTGTTTGTCTCCACAGAGCTCACCTGTCTCACCTGTCTGTGATCGACAACACTCCTCCTGGTAAACTAACCTGCCTCCTCTGCTTTCATTTCCTACATTTCCCAGAATGCATTTTAACAACACAGCACAGAAAAACAGTTTTCTTTTCCAGCTGATTTTCAGTCTTTAAAATTTGAGACGTTCTTGAACGCATCACTCAGGACAGCGATAATGAACCAAATTTGGACGTTGAACAATAAAAACACGTTTATATTCAGAGGATGATTAAATATCAGAGTTAAAGTTCCTCCATGTAGCGTTCACTGACCCACCTGGACATCAGCCGAAACAGTGACGTGACGTGACACTAACCGTGTCTCACCGTCGTCATGTTGACAGAATGCTCGAACATAAATCACTGTCATATTTAGAACAACTTTAAGATCTGTAATGTTCTTAGACCCACGCGGAGGAGCTAAGTTACAGCTAGCTGGCTAACATTAGCTCAGGTGATAGTTAGCTTGTTAGCCACCGCTTCAGTGCTCGGCCAGTAGAAAGCACTTTGTTTCATTACATCATTTATTGTTTGTCATAGCACATGAATTAGTGTCAGGGATCACTTCAGCTGGTGAAGTAATTTGGGAGCCAACTGACGTGTCCACTCAGGTTGTATTTTGCTTGTGACAACATAAGCAAGCAAGCTAAGTTAGCTAAGCTAGCTGTAACTGAGCTAAGCTGCATTGATCTGGTGTTTGTTGCTTCATAATGTCAGCTGATAAAATAATTTGCAAACAGCTAATTTACAGATCAGCTCTGGAGTCTGGATGAATTAAATGATGTTAATTACTCAAAACAGTATTTAGCTACATTAGCTCTGACCACATTAAGATGCAAGTGAACGTTAGCTAACATTAGCCAACTGAAACAACATCACAACATATTTAACATGTCAGTGCTTCCTCCAACGGCAGGACTTTTTTCAGCAGCAGGAGGAACTGAAACGATGTGCAACACTGAATTTGACAGATTTATTGTTTCAGACCACAAATGAGACAAAAATGATCTCAGCTACGTGTTTAAATGTAACAGCAGCAACAGAAAGTCTGCTTTACATAGAAGGATCCACAGGCTGCACATCCTGTGGGGACACATTTTGTGCCCACAAGATTTTTAAAAAAAAAAACTTTGTGGGCTCCGTGCGGTCCTGACGAAGGCAAACTAACACTACTGTGCGACTTCCACTGTTTCTCAAATCACACTCTGAACTGCAAATGAACGGTGGAGTGTCATCGCTAACATTTGACTGCTGTCTCTGCACGCACATAAAACAAACTTACTCTACAACGTCAATGCTGACTGAAATGTTCTGCCATAGCTAGGAGAAAGTTAACAAGCTAGTAAATTCTAATTTTAGTTAGCAAGCTAACGGTAGTCTCCGCTACCTCACAAAGATGGCGACTTTTGAGGATGAGACGTGTCCGTCATTCCACACTCAAATTTTGGATCGTTTTGAGTGCGTCAGTGATGCACTGCATTTCTCCGTAGTGTTCAGTGTGAACACACTCAAAATGTGTTTAGCTCAGAAGAACGAGACCTGAGACACTGTACGTCTCTGAAAACTAAACTTTGCTGAAAACCTTTAACTTTGTAAAAGTCAAAACTAAAATAAAATAAAAACTAACTGAACTTTTAAACTGTACTAACCTTAGTAACTGAGTACATGTGCTTTGTTTCTTTCTGCTACCGCACGTCTTACTGTGACACTGAGCACTTAGCAACAGTTAGCATGTTAGCTGTGACAGCACAGCTAACATGCTAACTGTTTTGTTAACATGTAAATTGTGAAGTATTTCAAGTCTTTCCAGCCGTGGCTGCTGAAACAAGAATCACTGCTGTAAAATATAAAAAAACTGAACCGCTGAGTTTTTACATTTTATTTTAACTCCACCGTCCAGGACGTCCTGCCGACAGAGTCAAGTGATGTGAAAACAGGAAGAGCTTCACGAATTCACCTTCAGTCGAACATCAACAGGCTGAAAAATCGTGACCTCTGACCTTTATGAAACTGGACCGATGTCTCGAATCCGATCAGACAGGATCAGACTTATTCTCAGTTCTGCTGCTCTTAAATTAATGTCTCATTTATTTTCTTCACACAAAGTTCATAAATAAAACAAACCAAGACACAAAATCAAACGCACGTCTTTACAAATATACACGACCATCTTCACCCAGGAGGGCTGCTGGGAACCAGACTGGGAACCAGACTGGGAACAAACTGGTCCGGAGGATTCTCCAGTCTCTGCTCAGTCTCTTTAGGAACATGTCAGCGATTGTTTCAGTCTCTGTGTCCTCTCGCTGATTCGTCCTCCAGCTGCAGGACTTTGACATGAAGACAGAGTCCCAGTCCAGAGGTTCAGGTCCAGCTGCAGGTCACTTTGACTTGAAGACCTAGTCCCAGTCCAGAGGTTCAGGTCCAGCTGCAGGTCACTTTGACTTGAAGACCTAGTCCCAGTCCAGAGGTTCAGGTCCAGCTGCAGGTCACTTTGACTTGAAGACCGAGTCCCAGTCCAGAGGTTCAGGTCCAGCTGCAGCCTCGGGGGTCTTTGGGATGGATGGGAAGAAGGACTGCATCTTCTGTCTGAACTCTGACAACTGAAGGAAGACGAAGGTCAGAAACAGAAACCTGACGATGGTTCTCGTGAAACAGTGACAAACTGATCATAACAAATTATTTAATTCTTCTGTTTAAAATCTAAATGTATTGTTTTGTTCTTCATCCGTCAACACGGTGGACAAAAACACAATCTGTTGTTAACACTAAAATAATAACGTGATGTTTGACTTTTAATAACAAACAGTTTATTCAGTGTTTGATGATTCAAGAACAGACTTCAGGTTTTAGCTGCAAAACAATAACAATGAAAACATATAAATTATATTATCGTTTATATTTTTGTTGCTGAGCTGCGAGTGACGGGTTTTTGTGATTTGGGTGAACTAGTCCTTTAGAGCCTTTATGTCCATCTCAGGTCGTTTAGTGCGACACTGTCAGAGCTGTAGTTTTCTCTCCGAACATTTTAGGTTCAATAACAAAATCTGACGACTTGAAATATTTCAACTTTATGACTTTTTCCTGAAAATTATTTCAGTGAAGTTTCTCCTTGAAATTTTGACTTTTCTACTTTTTTTTTTCTTGAAACATTTCAATTATGTTTCAGCAAAGCCGCTAAATGTTCTGACGTTCACAGAATATTTAAAGCGTATTCTCAAAATGTACCTTTTTTTAAAAAAAAAAAATTGGTTTGGCCATTTTTCTGTCTACTAAGTACTTCAAATTTATTCGATAAGTATTTCATTTAAGCAACAAATTATTTTCTAATTTTTCTACCAATATTTTTGAAAATCTACATTTTTCTCAAAATACTACTTTATTCTCAATTTTACTTTTTTCCCCCCAAAACTTTAGTTTTTACAGTTGTTTTTTGCAAAGTGTCTGTTTCACTCTAGAATTTTTTTTATGTCATCTCCCAGTTATGTTTTCTTGAAACATTTCAACATTATTTAGATACTCACCCAATATTTCAAAATATTTTTGAAAATTTACATTTAAAAAAATATCACCTTCGTCTCAGAATTAAACCTTTTTTTTTTAATTATTAAATTATATTCCAGCAATTTAACAGCTGTAAAATGTGAATATATGGCGCCCGTTCACCTGTAGAGTAACGTGTGTTGTTTATATGTAACGTGTAGCTGCAGGTACGTACGCTGTGAACGCCGAGGACTTTCCACACCGTGAAACTGAGCAGGCCGACTCCACACCAGGCGTACAGAGAGCCCCACCCCAGAGCTCTGAGGGCCAGAGACGCTCCGCTCTCGGGGGCCGCCGCCGTCCCTGCAACTCCCTGAGGAGGAACCACAGCGTCAGACACCAGAGTCAGAAACATAGAAGATAGAAGTAAATACCTCACAAAACTTTATTGTCCAAACTGTGAACTGTTGACCTGAAACACCCGTCCCCGTCCCCGTCCCCATCCCCGTCCCCGTCCCCCGCCACGTCGCTCCGAGTTTGATCTGAGTCCACATTTTTTTAAACTGGTCTCGTCCTCTGAAGGACGCCAACAAAGACGAGTCTATGACAGAAATAGACTCCGGGAACAAGCGCTCGATTGTTTCTCCACGCTAACTTTATCTTTGTGCGTCATGTTTAATCGGATCCTGTGAGCGGCCAATCAGCACGCAGTTCCAGTTAACAGGACCAGTTTAAAGGCGGCGTTGTGACAGACTGAGATTACATGGAAAGTTTCAGGTCGACCTTTGGTGGAATGTGTGGAGACGCTGTCGTGACGTCTGAGGAGAGACACCAGACATCATGGTCTTAATTCTGCTCGTTTGTTTCCACCCTGATGACATCACCAGAAACGAATCAGATTTGAAACCAGATAAAAACAAGACAAACTGAATCACACGCCGTCCGCTGCGTCAACAATGGCGTCTCTGTCATGTGAACAAGCGGCTCCTTGTTTCGTGTTCACGTCACATAGAGCAGAAATATCTGGAACTTTTAGGTGTTTTCAGAGTCTGACCCGTCTGAGTCACGACTCTGAGGACGAGTGCGGTTTTTACCACAGGACCAACTTCCTGTTGCTTTTTACTGTTTTCTGACATTTTAGAGACAGGCGAGAAAATAACTGATGAGTTTATAATGAGCTCACTGTAGCCCAGAGTTCTTGAACTGTGTCCGTTGATGCCAAATATCTGACGCTGCAGACTTTGGGATCGAACACTGACCCAGCTCAGTCTGTGATTTGGTCGAGGACGCCAACGAGTCACGTCTCTGCACACAGTAACATTCCCGTCACACAGGTGGGCGGAGCTTACCTTACTGAACCAGCCTGGGCTTTTCTTCTTGGCCAGCGCCAACGTGGATCCAAATCCTGCGATCATCCCCACTGACGCCACCGTGGTCAGAAACGCTGCACCTGCACACAGGAAGTGACACTTCACTGCTACAGTCCTACACGGCAGAGGGAAACTGTTTAATGTCTCTAACAAAGACGACAAAATAAATTACGATTCAGGAGAACGAACTTAACGTCTTCATCATTTTCCAGCAGTTCCAAAGTTGTAAAATGTCACAACTCTTCTCAAAGTATTTTAACTGTATTCTTAAAATGTTACCGTTTATCAGCAGCTGCTTTTTAACTTTATTTTACAACATTTTCATTTAATTTCCCATTTTTGAATCATTTCAACTGCACAAATTTTCTGGGAATATTTTTTAAATTTTATGTTTTTCCACAAATGTTTATTTATTTGTCAAACATTTTCAATCTTGTTCTTTAAAATTCATGAATTTAAATATTTTTTCAACAACAAAACTAACTTTTGCAACTTGGCTTTTTTCCTCTAAATATTTCAACTTAATTCACAAACTTTTTCAAATTTCAGCAGCTGTATGAGTTTAAACTGAGGCTGCTTGTTGGACTATAAGAGGCTGAACTGAACACTAGAACTCTGTATTTAAGCAAAACCTCAAAATTAATATTTTTGGCTTATCCTCTAGTTTGGTGTCACGACTTCCTGCGTGTCTGAGCACAAGGAATAATCAAAGGGAACCAAAGCAGACCTCCTTCAGGAAGAAAGGAAGGAAGGAAGGAAGGAAGGAGAGGAACAACTGAAGGAGGAGAGATGGAGTTTGGAAAGTAGGAGAGAAGTGAAGGAAGGAAAACAGGATGAAGGTAAGGAAGGAAGAGAGACGTGTGTGAAGAAAGGAAAGGGGAAGGAAACTAAGGAAGAAAGATTACGGAGGAAGGTAGAGGTAATGATGAGAAAGGCAAGAAAAAGGAGAGAAAAAAGGGAGAGAAGAAGAGGAGGAAAACATGAAGAAAAACTGGATTGCAGATAGAGGGAAGGACAAAGGGATGCAGTAAGGAGACAAGGAGAGGAGTGAATGAAAAAGGAAGCACAAGAAAGGGAGTGGAGGAGGGAGGAGAGAAAGATGGAGAAGGGAAAGGACGATCAGAAAAATAGGAGAGGAAGGAAGGAAGGTCACAAAAAAGAAAGTTGAGCCACAAAGGAGGAAGCCTGGAGGAAAGGAAAGGAAAGGAAAGGAAAGGAAAGGGAGAAGTAGAAGAGAAAGAAGGAGGAGAAAAAACAGGAGAGAAGGAAGAAGGGATGGAAGGACAGAAAAAAGGGCATTGAGTAATGAAGGAGAAGAAGAAGGAGGCAAGACTGATAAAATGAACGAGAAGGAGGAGATAGAAGGAATCAAAGGAGGCCTGGAGATGGAGGGAAGGATGAAGGGATATGGTAAGGAGACAAGGAGAAGAGTGAATGAGAAGAAAATAAGCAAAAGAGAGTGAAGGAAGAAGGAGAGAAAGATTGAGGGAGCAGAGGTGGAATGAAAGGAAAAGGAGGAGGAGAAAACAGGTAGGGAAGATGGCAGAGGGAGGCCTGAGGAATTAAAAGAGGAGAGAAGGAAGGAAAGAAGGACAGAAACAAATGACACTAAATGAGAAGAAGAAGGAGAGAAGGAGGCGAAACACAGCGAGATGTTCCATGTCAGAACTCCAAAGGCCAAACTCCATTGTAATATCTGACAGTTAATTACGCGTTGCAAAGACAGCTAGCTCACAAAATAGAAAACGTTTACATATAAACTGTGGTCACCAGTGCTGCTGATGGAGGATTACCTTCAGCCGAATTAAACAGAAGAACTCAAACGTTCAAGAACAATATTTAATTGTAGTTTATGTTTTACGCAGAATCCTAAATAACCTCAAGAACCTTTAACTGTGTAAAATTTGAATGAAGTTTGGCGTCACGGTCTTTTAGCATCAGTGGAAAAAGGACGGTAACTCTGCTGGAGTGAACAACAAATTCATCTTTGGTCACATTTCGTATTATCAGGATGTTCAGGTCACTGAGTGACTGAGGAAACCTAAAGTCGTCTGATTTTTCAGTGGAGTTTGGTTTGAGAGCGTCGACATTGCTGTGACCTCAGACAGAGAAACAACAAACTGGAGTTAACAAGCTAACATGCTAACAGCTGTCTGACCTTTTAGCACCTGTAGTTTGACCTCTTCGCCACTTTCTGCTCCTTTAGACACGCGCACACTCATGTTTTCATCTTCAGCCACATTCACACTCATGTTTTCACCCGCTGCTGTCATGTTGCTTCAGTCCGTCTGCGGAAAGTGACCGGGTAGAAACAAGCTAGCTCGGAACTCAGGAGCGCTGCTGCTGTTGTTTTAAAATCAAAAACTAATTTATATCAGAATAAAACTGTGATTTACAGATTGAGATTTAACTCGTGTTTGTTTTGTTTTGTAGAAGATCCTTCTTTACTCTCAGATTCAAGCATCAGTGTCAGTTTATTGTTCCGCTGACGGAGGGAAGGATCACAGAGACGGACCTCTCAATCAAAGATCTTCTATTACTGTAGAATTCAGGCTCTCTGAGGGAAACAATGAAGAGGTCTCACTCCGTGACTACAGAGAGACACAACATGACTACAGAGATACACAACATGACTACAGAGATACAACATGACTACAGAGACACACAACATGACTACAGAGATACAACATGACTATAGAGACACACAACATGACTACAGAGATACAACATGACTACAGAGACACACAACATGACTACAGAGATACAACATGACTACAGAGA